TAGTTTACGCACAATGATGTTCCGGACGCTTGTCGTACCTGGGTATCCCAGCCTTGGGGCCTTGGTCAGGGAGTTGCCGACACATTTATTGACTCCAAAGCCAGTGGATATTTCCCACTTGCGCAAAATGATACTAACATTAGGCCCCTCTTTGATGTTGCCCTGGAGTAGAACTGTGTGCAAATGCCAATGCATACAGAACCCCAAAGGTTGGCGCCCCGAATTTTACCTTACCTGGTATCGAACGACGTAATACTCGATGATGAGGACTTGGATGAAGCATCTATGTCATCATGAGCGAATTACAGAACCGGTAGTTCAACAAGATAGTTGGATGCACTTAGTTAAAGCTGTTAGAGTAATTCAAGTTTATCTACTGGTACGTGATCTTGCACCTGAAGCATGTGACACACTTACGAAAGGCGTCGTGGGTTGCAATCCCCATTCAATTTCGGCGATGTTGCATCAGTTCTTTCATAAACCCAGGTACGTCGACGTGGCTAAGATACTCCTAGCTTAGTCCCCGTGGAATTTGTTACAGCATTGCCATATTTCATGGTGTAGCACCTCTCGTTCTTGGGCTTCGAGCCGTTGTACCTCGACGAAATCATGCACTGTGTACTTGAATTTTCGCGTTAGCGCAACGTTGGGTTCTCGTTGAACACTCAGCACAAGACCGACAATTGGCAAGGTATTTGTGACCTGCGTTCTTTGGATGACAAATAAATTACTCATTAGTTGCTGTAACTACCATACCACTTTTCTCCGCTTCGATAGGTGCTAGCAGAAAAATGGTCATTACTCGTCCAAACATTGTGTTATGTACTACTAGTAGTACTAGCGGTTCGGTCAATCCCACGCATTTGACCTCAGAACTTCTCGCAGTCTACTACAGTGTAGCTCGGCAAAAGGCGCGGACGTTTACGGGCAAAAATTATTCTCCCCTTGAATTCGACATGTTGGATCCCGCCATAGCATTCTTGCTACGACTATTAAAATAGGGGTACTGCAGCGTGGACGTGATCTTCATGGCCGCGAGTTGGACGGGTCCATCTACAAATGGCATATCCTGACTCGGACTAGGGCTGTGACGGACTACGGATCATGTCTGTCGACGCCACCTTGCAGGAAATGAGCCAGGTGTAACAATAACTACCGCAGCATTGCTCCAATGTTGCATTCAACACGCTAGTGTTCAGCTCCAACAGCCTCGTGACAGACCGCCTGCTATATCGCCAACCTGTTTCCAAACGATATTCCGATCATGAACTTCGCCTTGTACATCAACCAGCTAACCAGCTGTGGCTTGTGCCGATTCAAAATCTTCATGCTGTATTAAGTCTTTGGGTGCGCCGCGTTTGTGTGCAGATGGGCAAAAGGGGGTCGGTCCGCATCAGTTAGTTCGTTAGTAGCTTAACCTACTAACGAACACCTCACGGAGCGTCCAAAATAAAAATTTTCGCGTCGCCGTAGCACGCCCGGGCCAAACTGATGCGGACCGACCCCCTTTTGCCCATCTGCACACAAACGCGGCGCACCCAAAGACTTAATACAGCATGAAGATTTTGAATCGGCACAAGCCACAGCTGGTTAGCTGGTTGATGTACAAGGCGAAGTTCATGATCGGAATATCGTTTGGAAACAGGTTGGCGATATAGCAGGCGGTCTGTCACGAGGCTGTTGGAGCTGAACACTAGCGTGTTGAATGCAACATTGGAGCAATGCTGCGGTAGTTATTGTTACACCTGGCTCATTTCCTGCAAGGTGGCGTCGACAGACATGATCCGTAGTCCGTCACAGCCCTAGTCCGAGTCAGGATATGCCATTTGTAGATGGACCCGTCCAACTCGCGGCCATGAAGATCACGTCCACGCTGCAGTACCCCTATTTTAATAGTCGTAGCAAGAATGCTATGGCGGGATCCAACATGTCGAATTCAAGGGGAGAATAATTTTTGCCCGTAAACGTCCGCGCCTTTTGCCGAGCTACACTGTAGTAGACTGCGAGAAGTTCTGAGGTCAAATGCGTGGGATTGACCGAACCGCTAGTACTACTAGTAGTACATAACACAATGTTTGGACGAGTAATGACCATTTTTCTGCTAGCACCTATCGAAGCGGAGAAAAGTGGTATGGTAGTTACAGCAACTAATGAGTAATTTATTTGTCATCCAAAGAACGCAGGTCACAAATACCTTGCCAATTGTCGGTCTTGTGCTGAGTGTTCAACGAGAACCCAACGTTGCGCTAACGCGAAAATTCAAGTACACAGTGCATGATTTCGTCGAGGTACAACGGCTCGAAGCCCAAGAACGAGAGGTGCTACACCATGAAATATGGCAATGCTGTAACAAATTCCACGGGGACTAAGCTAGGAGTATCTTAGCCACGTCGACGTACCTGGGTTTATGAAAGAACTGATGCAACATCGCCGAAATTGAATGGGGATTGCAACCCACGACGCCTTTCGTAAGTGTGTCACATGCTTCAGGTGCAAGATCACGTACCAGTAGATAAACTTGAATTACTCTAACAGCTTTAACTAAGTGCATCCAACTATCTTGTTGAACTACCGGTTCTGTAATTCGCTCATGATGACATAGATGCTTCATCCAAGTCCTCATCATCGAGTATTACGTCGTTCGATACCAGGTAAGGTAAAATTCGGGGCGCCAACCTTTGGGGTTCTGTATGCATTGGCATTTGCACACAGTTCTACTCCAGGGCAACATCAAAGAGGGGCCTAATGTTAGTATCATTTTGCGCAAGTGGGAAATATCCACTGGCTTTGGAGTCAATAAATGTGTCGGCAACTCCCTGACCAAGGCCCCAAGGCTGGGATACCCAGGTACGACAAGCGTCCGGAACATCATTGTGCGTAAACTACAGTCCACGTGTTGTGGCTGGAAGCGCGCGTCGTCCAACTGAAGACGTCACTTTGCCATTTACCTCGCCTTGACCTGATGACCAACTTTCTTGCTTTCCTCACCGTGTTCGCCGCCGTGGCCAACTCGACCGTGAACCAAACTGACGACCACCAACTCCAAACCACGGACGCATCGTTTTGTTGGAAGACATCGCAGACACGCGGCATTGGCCAAGTGCCGGTGTCGTGCGCCGCCGGACAAGAGCGCCTGGGTCTGTTGTGCTACGACAAGTGTCCATTGGGCACGATCCGCAAAGGCCTCGACTGCCACTCGAACTGCCCCGCTGGGTTCGCGGACCAAGGACTGTTTTGCCGCATGAGTGAATACGGCCGGGGGGCTGGGTACCCATGGAAGTTTGGCGACTCGCTGGACGACAGTGGCATGTACAAACGCTGCCAAAAGGACCATGGGCAGGGCAAGTGCGAAAAATGGGGGTTGGTTGTGTATCCCAAGTGCTTGCCGGGCTACACTTCATCTGGTTGTTGCCTCTGTCGACCTACCCCCCCTGACTGCGGGGTCCTTGGCCTGGGCGGACGGGTGGACTTGTCGTGTGCCAAGAAAATCACGGTTATGGCGCCTACGCTGGGCACGTGCGGTGCCAACGAAGACCTCGATGCAGGCCTGTGCTACCCCAAGTGCAACCCCGACTACATGGGTGTCGGCCCGGTGTGCTGGGGTCGCCCTCCTGCCTCGTGGGTGCACTGCGGCATGGGGGCCGCCAAAACCCCCCTGGATTGCGCCACTGCCGTCAAAGACCAAACCTTGTCAGTGGGACAGCTCGTATTCAACATCGGCACAGCGTTTGCGGGCAGCTCGGCCATGGCGCTCCAAGGCCCGGCGGACGTGTCCAAGTTCGCCGAGTTGACGAAGGCGTGGGATGCCATCAAAACCAAGCCGGTGGTCGAAACAGCCATGCAAGTCTACGATGCTGCCAACCGAGGCAAAACGGGCTACCAGGCCATCGAAGAACTCGAGCAGGCCAACTCCACCAACGAAGACTACGTTCGTATCGCAGCCTCCATTGCGTCCATCTTGGACCCCACCGGCATCTCGGATGTCATCGCGGCCTACACGTACTCCACTTGTGACAAAGTTGCAGCTTAACCTACTAACGAACATGCATGGGTAGCTTCCTTGAGCTCCGAAGCAGGAGATCACGAGCCCGCGCCTATACACTACGATTTGAATGCCGAACCTCTAGCATAAAGAAAACTAATGTATGTGGAGGTGCTCGGATCCATGGCGTGTATTATGTAACCTAGCTCTACATTGATTGCAGTTCCGCGCAGATACCTTTATAACATTTTAAGAGTAACCAGCGTTGAGTCACATGTACTTTGAACATTCAACGTCCAAGCATATACGTCAAGTGCATTGCAATACGTTCAAGCAGAAGCTGTGAGTAACAGAAATCGAGAACACTCGAGCAAACGTGCCCGGGCGTCACATAAAATGCTGTCGACAATCACATCTTTAATTTCACCTCACGGAGCGTCCAAAATAAAAATTTTCGGGAAATATCGACGGATCCATCTTGATGCTGCCTTCCCTAGTTCGTTGATACAGAACAGCGCCATAATCAGGCTGCTCTTGTCGACCTTTCACCGGATTGAATGTGCACATTCACGTCCGTGAGCACCAGCGCGTCATGCTTTTTCTACCGGAAACTGTCGTGCCTTGTGCTGCATCGTCCACCCTTCACAACTTCCTCGATGAATTTGCTATCCCTAAACTCTATCGTGCAGTCGATAAATTTAAACGCGATGATCTTTGTCGAATGCATCACCAACACAATCGTCTTGTGATGTAGCAGCCCGAGAAAACACATGGTGAAATCACGCTCTTCACGATCCCGTCCACGGAGCGTCGCCGTAGCAAGCCCGGGCCAAACTGATGCGGACCGACCCACTTTTGCCCATCTGCACACAAACGTGGCGCACCCAAAGACTTCATACAGCATGTAAGCCATTGCCGTGCGGTTGAAATTTGTGCTTTGTTGGCGCATTTTCATTTTACGAAATAATTAACGTGATCGACCATTGATCAGCCAAATTTTCAAAATTTT